GGAGGAGGAGGAGGAGGATTTGGCATCGCTAGGACGTGTGCATTTTCTTCGGCGAGGGCCAGCGAGGAGCAGATTGGAGCACTTAGCAAAACATGCACTCACGAAATAAAACACGGTACGAGGGATGGACGTCCGAACGATGGCGAAAGGAGGAGGTGGAGGTGGAGGAGGAGGCGGAGGAGGAGGAGGAGGGAGGCTCTGCTGCTCTTCTGCTCCCTGGACTTGTGGGGTATGGTGGGGTATTGTGGGCTTGTGTTTGCCGCATCGACACCCTCGCAGTGGGCCGTGGGCGTCGCGGAGGAAGAGGCTCCGCAGCATGAAGGGTGCGTTCCTCGCTTGCCGCCCACATCGACTCTCGCGCTGCAGGCCAGGCGCCCCGACAGAAGAGGCGGGGGAAAATATACGCGAGTTGGATCAGGGGGAGGATGAGGAGGAGGAGGACGAGAGTAAACCCAAGAGGCATCAACGATGATGGAATAAACCCTCCCTCCAAGCTCCCTCGTCATAGGCCCCATGCAACGGTTCATTCACTGAGGGAACTGCCTCTTTGGAAGACAATTGTGTCAAGACCCTGTAGCATGCCAAAACATTGGTCTCGGGATTCCAACGACACGGATCAAGCTGACTGTTGCGTTTTGGCGATCTTGAATAGTGCCAGAACGCCATTCCTGGGACTTGAGCACCGTGAATCAACAGAACTTGTCCTGAATTCATCCATAACACCACTTCTGATACGTTGATCAGGGTAATCCGTGAAACTCCTGCATTTTTCAGGCGACTGCGCGCGGCGCCAAGGTGAGAGCCACATGTTGGAAAGGAACCGCCCTGAATCCGCGACACCCGCGCACTTGTTTTGACGAGTGTGCGCGGCGCGAAGGCGAGAGCTATGTTTCGAGAAGGAACCGCCCTCCATTCGTGAAGTCCTTGCGCCAATGTGTAAGACAACTGTGCGCGGCGCTGAGGCGAGAGCCACCTTCTGAAAAGGAGCCGCTCAGTCCGTGAAGCTTTTGCCAATGGTTACGACGAATGTGCGCGGCGCTAAGGCGAGAGCTACATTTTGAAAACGACTCGCCCTCAGTCCTTGACATTCTTGCACATGTTGAAGACGAATGCGCGCGGCGCTAGGGCAAGAGCCACATTTTGAGAACGACCCGCCCTCCATGTGTGAAGCTGTTGCCAATGTTTGAAGCATCAGAGCCATTATGGGTGAGGAAGTCGCAGGCGAAACGCCCGGCCCGACCTAAAACGTGACTTCGGGGTGCGACAGGGAGACATGATTTATAAGGAGAAGGAATGGAGGAGGAGTAGGAGGAGGAGGGGGAGGAACACGTGGGAGGCGCATCTCTGCAACTCTGGCGCGACGGTGGGCAACAAGCCTGCCACGCACCACTTAGCTGGTCACCACAGTAGTTCAGAATCGACGGACAGCACAATGCCAATAAATGCCGCGCGATGTCAATAACAGCAAATTGACTTCTTGCTTGCACACGTCTTCGACTTCCGTCATTCTGTGACAGGGGCGCTGAATTACGGGAGTGGGCCTTTTCAGCCCGATCTTCAGCAATGCTATGGTGCCCTGTTGTTGTGCGTCATTGTGCGATCCCTCCGTTCTTTACCACAGCGCCAAGCCTCCTGTCGCTGTTCACTCCAAGTGCGGCAGCGACGCCTTCCTCGCCACATCTTGATAGGCACAGCATCTGTAAATACGTGTCGTATGAAGAAGTGCATCATGCGCATCGGACTTGCTTGCTATCATCTTGCTTGCTCGTGCCAAGTGCACGTATGTATTCTTGAATCAGAACGAGTGTATACGAATGACTGGCAGCGTGGACTTCATACAGTAGTTTCTCCCACAGCGGTTCATATGCCATGGGGCGCAGCATGCACACACCATGAGGGCAAAACCACACATTGGGCACAAGGGCGACAACCATACATCGCGAGAACTGGGGCATCATGGAGTGCCAGTCACGGATTAACACCCACTGGGCACGAGAGCGGCAGCCAGTTGGGGCATTTTAGGCCTCCAGCCATGCAGCACCAGCCAATAGGGCATCAGGGGGGCAACAAGGATAATCGGGACATCATCGGACTATAGCAACAGGGCGTGAAGAGTACTAGGACAGCAGTCAGAAGTCGCGACAGTTGGGGCATCGTAGGGCACCACCAACAGGGAACCTGCCAGAGCGGCAACCAGACATCGCGACAATTGGACCATCATATGGCACCAGCCATATGTCACCACATATAGTGCACCAGGGCAGCAACCAGAAATTGCGCCAACTGGGGTATCATGGCACCAATGGCGCAACCAGAATTTGCATCGTATCAGAAGCCAGCTTCCTAAGTGCAGCCGCTGTTTTGGATCTGCGAACAAGTTTTGTTGATACGTCTTGTAGGCACACCGCACTTTTGGTTTTGACGCAGTGACCAGGGCATACCAGGACATACAGGAATAGGTTCGAATAGCCGAGGTCTCCCTGCCTAATACGGGTGGCACGATCTTTGCCGATTCTTCAACCCAGACAGGAATGTGTGTATATATACAATGCAGATGGTATATATATATATACATATATGTGTCATATAACATATCTAAGAAAAGGGACACCGGGTCCCCAGCCCCATGGCGGCACACTACCTGTATGTATGTGCATGCGATTGTGAATGTGTATGTATGTATGCATGTCTGTCTGTACGTATGTATGTATGTATGTATGGATGTATATATGTATGATGCATGCATGCATGCATGCATGTATGTATGTATGTATGTATGTATGTGTGTCTGTATGTTTGTATGTATGTGTATGCGTGTACGTGTGTGTATATGTATGGATGTGTGTGTATGTGTGCATGTGCGTATGTATGTATGCATGCATGCATGCATGTGTGTGTATGTATGTGTGTCTCTGCATATGTTCGTATAGGCGTATGTGTATGTGTATGTGAATGTGTAAGTGCATGTGCATGTACGTATGTGTGTAGGTATGTATGTGTATACGCATGCGTGAATGTGTGTATTCATGTGTGCATGTATATAGATACGCATGTGTTGGTGTATGTATGCATGAATGCATGCATGTAATGTAATGTAATGTAATGTAATGTAATGTAATGTAATGAAATGTAATGTAATGTAATGTAATGTGATGTATGTATGTATGTATGTATGCATTATACATATGCAAGTCTATGCACGCATATGTATGTATAGGCGTGTTTGTGTATGCATGCGTATGTATCTGTAAAAGTATATATGCGCGCATGCATGCACGCATGCATGCTTGTTCGTTGTTGTATGCATGTATGTATGTCTGCCTGTATGCATGCATGCATACTTTATGCATGTATGTATGTATGACCGCATGCGTCCTGCGTATGTATGTATGCAGGTGTGTATACCTGTATGTATGTATGTATGCATGTATGCATGTAATGCACGTATGCATGTACGCATTCATGCATTCATGTATGTATGTATGTATGTATGCATACCCGCCTATATGTCTGTATGTATACATGTATGCATGCATGCGTGCATGCGCGCATGCAGGAATTCATGCATGTACGTATGCACGTATGTAGGTATGCATGACCTAGCTGTACTAGAGCTCAACATGATATGCGTGTATAAACCTACATACATATAAAACCAGGCATACGCACATACAGTGGGAATCCATGCCAATAAACGCCCTGCTTGCCTCCAGGGTGCCTTCGGCTTCTTGGGTTTCGATGTGTTTTCTTATGGAAACCGTGACTGCCGCACACCAGAAATCAATGAACGTCCTGCAGTCTCAGGGTTTGGGTTCCTTGCGGAGGTTGGTTGTGGTAGAGCTCCTGTTGTATCATGCATGTATACACACGTATCATGCACATCTATACGTACACGGAAGGTTCCAGCCCCGGGGAACCGGGCAATGCGGAGCCAGACTCAGGCACCCAAGTTTTCTTTTGGATTTGTTCAGCCCCAGACGACGCGTCGTAGAGGCCCTTCAAAGACCCTTTTTCACGCCCCTTGGCGGCGGCGGATGCGGTGGCCCAGCGAGGCAAGAACGTTTTCTGCAGCCTTGCAGGACATTGCGCCATCGACGGGTACTGCGTGGAGCGCGACTTCATCTTGGGCGGCGGAGGTCAGTGACTGGGCCAGGATGTTTCGCGAGCGGCGGCAGCGCGGAGGACGTGGCCCAGAAGAGGCGATTGCAGAAAAAAGGGGCAGACAGTCTATCGCGAGAGCTGGGCCCAGAGCCCGACGAGACGACGGCCGCGCCGACGGGGGGGCTCGAGTCTCCGTGCCAGCCGAGCGCGGCTGAGCGAGCAGCCCATGAAGGACGCCACCGTCCGTTCCGCCCTTCATGCCATGAGTGCGTCCAACGCGAAGCTGGAGCTGATCCCCGCTGCGTGCAGGAGGCTGCAGAGATGGTCGGTTTCCGAGTCGCGGATGTGTTGGTTGGCGGCGAAGCATGCGGCTGAAGGGGGGGTGCTTCGCGCGTCGCGATATGTCTGCGATCGGCAAGAGAGACTCGAGAAAGCTCTCTCAGCGCTGAGCGATCGCTTGCAAGGTCTTGGCCCGAGCCGCGCCGTGCGCCGACGATGCGCTGGGCGATTGCAAGGTCGCGTTCCTGGCCTCGGTGCTCGAGCAGCGGGGTCGCGCGACCGCAGTGCTCCAGACGGGCCAGGGGCCTGCCGCGATGGCTCTGGCGATTGCGGTCCGAGATCGGACGCGGCGCCCGACGTCGGCGCGGGGGTCGGCGCCCTTCTCGTGGAGGCGCGCTGGTTATTTCGCTGCTTCCAGCGGGGGGCTCTTGGGGGCTGGCAAGCTGAAGCTGGCGCGCATTCTGCAGAATCGCATCGTGATCGATGTGGCTGATCCGATCGCGCCATGGTTGGCGAAGCCGATAGACTGGGTGATCGCCGAGCTCCGACCGAATTGCCGCGGGGGCCCATCACGCAGCATGCTCTTCGGCAAGGAGCAACAGGGCGAGATCGCAGCATTCGAGAAGCAGATCTGTTGCAGGAGGCCAGACTCGCCGGAGGCATCTGGGTGGGTCAGGGCGATGCTGGCGACGCCCACTTGGCGATCGTCGTCGGGCGCGAAGTCCAGACGGCGCGGGCAAGAAGGGGGGTGTCAGAGGGGCCCCGGTGGAATGGCGTGCTGCTGAAGAATCGCGGCATATCTTCGGGCGCGTGCGCCGACGGGGATGCGCCCGGCATTTTGCGCGGCGCGCGCGTCGCCGAGCGGATGATCGACGCGCGCGGCCCGACCGACGTTTGACAGGCGTGCGTCGCGGGTTGCGGATCGCAGTCGGCAGCCTGCCGACAGCGGTCTCAAACCATTCAGGCGCGCCTCGTGCGCGAGAGCGTGCGGCATAATCCTGGGGCCGCCGAGGCGACGCCGGCGACGCCGGCGCCAGCTGCGCGAAGCCCCGCGCCAGGCGCTGCGAGCAGCGGCCAGGACGGGGCCGGTGGTCAGGCAGCGGTGAACCCCGCGCCGGCGCGCGCTGAGGGCGCGCCCATGCTCGCTGCTTGCGCGGGAGAGTAAGCAGGACCAGCTCGCGCGGTCCAGCAGGGCCCGAGATGCAAACATATGAGGGCCGGGTCAGAGGGGCGGCTCCGGGAGACCGTCGACCAGGGGTGGTGGTCCAGATGTCTGGAGTGGCATTCATAGGTGTGACTGCTTTATGGGGCCGGCGGTCTGCGAGGAAGGGTTCAACGAGAGCCTCGACTCCGCGTCGGGTCCGCGTCCGCGGAGGGCAGGCCGATGCTCTGGGGGGCGCGGGGGGCGCTCTTCAAGATGTCCGCTCAAGGCGCGCCGCTTGGACGAGCGTTCCTGTGGGCGCGGTTCGGTGACCTGTTTCGACTCGATGCGAAGTTCTATTGGGGTGCCAGAAGAGAAGCTGATCCGGCAGATGGCGGATGTCAGCGGAGAGCTTCGCGAGGGAGACCAGTGGGTGATTCGCATAATCTGTGCGAGAACTCTACGGGCGAGCCGCTGGGCGAGGCCTCTGCGCCGAGCAGGACGCGGCGACGCGCTGCAATCCACGCTGTGCTACGGCGCCATTGTCGTCGCGTGCCTTGCTGCTGCGACGGGCGGCAAGCGCGCCGGGTTTTTCCCGACTGCGCCCTTGCAGGGGGGGGGGGGGCCAAGTTGGAGGTTCGTGGGCGCTGAGGCCAACGAGCACTGGCCCAGGGGAGACAATCGCAAGGGGGCGCCGCCTTTGATGATCGCAAGAGCGACGCTCCGCCGAGCAGCTTCGAGCCCTTCGTCAGGAAGCGACCTTGAGGAGGGTTCCAGGTATGGGATGTGAGCAGAGGTTTTTTTCAAAGCCGATTTGGAGTAGACGATCCACGCGAACCCCGGTCGAGAGTTTCGTCGACCTGGGCGGCGCGGGGCGCTGCTGAAGGCGGCCGCGGGCGGCGCTGGGGTCGCTTCTGAGACGGGGGGGGGGCTCTGCAGTGCCGCCGTGGGCGACGGCCGCTGGGAACGTCTGGGCACGCCGAACGCGCTGCGCCTGCCGTCTAGTCCCGGCGCCCCAGCCGCCGATGAAGGACGCTGCAGCAGCGCGCCGTGGCGATGACTTCCTCGCGGAGAATTGCGACGAGCAGCTCGACATGATGGATCGCCTTGCGAAGCAGCAGTTCGAGGTCACAACCAGTGAAAGGATCGGCCCTGGGCAGCCCGGCAAGACGCGAAATCTCGAGAGGGTCATCGGCTGCGCCGACACGCTGCCAGAGGCAGAGGGGCCAGGCTTCTATTGGGCGACTGGCCCCAGGCACGTGGACTTTTTGGTTCGGCGGGCGCAGAAGCGAGGAATCATGCCAGCGCCGTCGCCCGGTGCCAGGGCGGCAGGCCAAGGGCGACAAGACGCTCTAGATCTACTCCCAGAAAAAAACAGTGCTCGACACGTCGGGGCTGCTGCAGGATCAGCTCTCTATCAGTGTTCCGGCAGGTCAGACGCGACGCGCGCTATGCTAGACAAGCCAAAAGGCGCGCGTCGAACCCTGACTCGCTGATGCATGTTCGCGCGCAGAGGCTCGGGCGACGCTGCGGGGGCAAGCCTGTCCTTGCGCGTTGCTAACCAGTACGGCCGGCGCCAGAAGGAGTTCGACTTATGGTGATGAAGATTGACCCCCTGCTGCAGAATTTCGGAGGAGGTCGACTAGCCATGGAGCAGTTCGATGTGATGTTCATACGTGTGGTTGCCATTCGGTGACCCAGAGTGCGATTGTATTGCGCCCAGGAGAGTCAGATCATCACGCGGTCGGCAGTCTCACAGCAAGAAGACTCCAGTGCAAGACCTACTTCGTTGCGGCCCAGTGGCAGCGCAGCTGCTGGATGTATGCGCCGGGGGATTGGCACGGGCAGGGCGAGGCGCGCAGAGCTCCGGTTCCTTTGGTTTCAAGATTGACTTCGACTGTTGCTCGCGGAGCTGACGGATGAGATGGCATGTAGATATTCTCACGTGGTACATCGAGCGACCGACTAGCGGGAAGCATCGTGCGCAGGATCCAGGACTTGAGGGCGGCGGCGGTTATGGCGACAGTTGCGCCGCCAGCTCGGGGACATGCGAGCGCGCGGGCGCGCGCGGACAAGGGGGTCGTCGCGCGTTGCCCAGTAGCTTGAAATTGCGATGGTGAGGAGTTCCGGAACATTTTGAAGATGATGGTGGTTCCCATGGTGGCGACGTTCATAATTTGATGTTGTTGCGGGTGCTTTGTGGCGGGGGCTTTGCGGCAAGGTCTTGCGTCGGTTTGAAGGCCGAAGCAGGCGATGCAGCTGGGCGTGGCCCAGCGCCGCGTCTGATGGGCAAATGTTCAAGGCGCGAGCTTCTCATGGCGTTTCGCGCGGCGTTCGTGCAGCGGCGTCTTCGAGCTGCGCGCCCGCCAGTGACGGGGGTCGAGGGCGAGTTGGCGAGCGGGCTTTTGGGCGAGGGCGGGGCCCAGAGCGAGATGCAAGCTCGGGGGGCGGAGAGGCCGCGCGCGGAGGCCGCGTCGCGCAGGCCATTGCGGGCAATTAACCTGAGTGACTTGATGAGTTAGGAGGCGCCGCGGGAAGTGATTGAGACGGCCGGAGGTGGGCGCTGACATTGCCTGGCGGCCGTTACCTGATCTACAAGGGGGGGCAAGAAGGTGGCCGCGGGAAGGACGTTGCTCCGTCGTGGCAGACTTGAGCAGCGAGACTGTTGGTTAGACCCGCGCTCTGCGCTGTGGTTGGACCCTCGCGTGGACGCGCGACTGTGCTTGGGAATCCGCAAGGGTGATCCCTGCCTGCGTTCGCTTGGCGACAGGCGGAAGCGCTGTCTAGCGTCCGTGGAGAGGTGTTGGGAAGCTTGTGATCTTGCTTGCAGTGCGTGTGCGCTCGTGAGACATATAAGCAACGCATGGGGACCTCTCTCGTCTTCCCTACTGCCGAGGGGGGAGGGGGGGCTCGTTCAGTTTTGCGTAGAATTCGGAATAGATGGAAGGATCCAGCGGCTAATTGTATTTTGGAGGAAAGATCGAGCAGCTGAATCCGTGCGCGCCCGCTCAAGGATGGCCCCCCCCCCCCCCCCACGCAGAGTCCGCTTGCAAAAAGCGGCGCGCGGTGTTCGTTGGGGGGCCCATGAGGAACCTGGACGCCCCGGGAAGCCGCGGCAGGACGGGCCAAACGCAATTTGCGAAGGATCGTGGCCGTGGGAGCGCGGACCTATTGCAGTGAGGCCCATCAAGATGCCCATTACTTTTCGTCTGAGTACCCTCTTTTTTCCGCCCCGCGCGGTGCGCACTAACTTCGCGGCCGTTGCATTAGCTGCTGCGTGGAAGGTTTGGTTTTCATTTTTTTTCGCTCCGTGCTTGCAGGTTGCCAGGGCTGGGTTTCTCACGTGGGTTTCTTTTGCGGCCGCGTCCACGTATTCCCTCGAGTAAGTTTGGCCGGTGGGTGTCGTATGTGTATTTGACGGACCGGTGGGTGCGAGGCGCTGGCGGGCCTTCCCTCGGGTTGGTTGGTTCTGTTGCTTCACTAGTGATCGAAAGGCCTTCGCCGAGTTGCTTGGATCTGTCTCTTCTTAGTTGTTTTGGAGCCTTCCTCGATCGCGAACTGGCGTTGACGCGAGGCGATCAAGCGCGTTATGCGCCCGACAATCTTGCCAGGCAGCACTGACTATGCCTTCTCGGGATGAGAGGTTTTGTTTTTTAGCGGCCATTCTCGGGTTGCTTGGCCTTGGCTCCTCACTGCGTTCCTGGGGCTGCTTGCTTTTGCGGCTTACCGATATTAGGCAACACCAGCCGCTGCCAAGCAAGGCTGGGCAACGCCTAGCAACGTCAAGTAACGCCAAGACTTGCCAAGCAACACCAAGCAACACCAAGCGACGCCGAGCAACGCCAAACAACGCCAAGCGACGCCAGGAGGTGCCAACCAAAACCGGACAATCCCAAACACCGCCAAGCAGGGTTAACCAATGAATAGCAACGCTTAGCAATGCAACGCCAACCAGCACAGATCATAGCAACGCCAAACAAACAACGCCAAACAATGCCAAGCAATGCCGTTTAGGAAAGCTTCCCCTACCTGGGGTCCTTCAGAAGCATGTACATTGGAACTTTGATATGTGAGCGCGCGGTTGCAGAGTAAGTTGCTAGGGGTCGTGTCCCAGGGGCCACGGATCAAGCGTAATATGCGACGAGTTGTGGCACAAGGAGCTCCGATTTGGCGTGATTTACGAGGGATCGTTGTACTGGGGATTTTGCTGTAGCGTAATTTCCATCGGGTCGCGGCTCTTGGCGCGCGGACCCACCGAAGTTTACGGGGGATCGTGGCCCTGGGAGCGCGGATTCAGCGAGGAAAGCTTAAAAAACATGGCCCCTCTCGGGCGTCGTTCAGTGCGCAACCTGACGCGTCCCGTGGCCTGGCGCGTCGCTCGTCACGTCCCGTGTCGTGTTTCATGCCCTGTCGTTTGGTCCGTTCCTTGGCTCGCCCTTTGGCGCGACACCTGGCACATGGCGCACGCGCATACACACGCACACACGCACGC